TATGTAGTAAGGAGGAAGTTTAAAACAAGAGGAAAACCTTAGTTTCCACCTTGAAGGTGTTGACCATTAACACTATTTAATACGAGGGAACTAATTTATATTTTATTAAACATGCACTGAAATGGTCATCTCAGGCCTGGAGATTGCTCTATGGTCTAAGCACATGCTTTGCCTGAGGAAGACCCAATTTTGATTCCCAGAGATACAAGGGTTCCCAGTGGCATGAGGAGTGACCTTGAGCAACATGCTGGGAATAGCCCCGAACACTGTCAAACTGCCCACCCCCATGCAAATAAATATTATCTTCTCCCAAGCACTACTGGGCGTGACCCCGGAGTCCTCCTGACCTGAGCAGCACCATGCTGCTGCCCAGCTCTGAACCATTCTGCCCGGGGGCCCAAGCACCACTGGGAGTGATTCCCTGCCCCATTTCACCAGGTGAGAAGTTTCCACTCCCCACTCTCACTACTTCCATAAAACATAGTACTGGAAGTCCTGCCATAGCAAGGAAAAGACAAGGCAAAGATATCAAGGGCATCCAGGTAGTAATAAACCAATGTTATTTCAATACTTTGAAAAAGATTTAGTAGAACCCTTTAAATAATTTTTCAACTAAAGTCAAGTAGCACTGTAGCACTGTCCTCCCAGTGTTCATTGATTTGCTTCAGTGGGCATCAGTAATGTCTCCATTGTGAGACTTTTTACTGTTTTTGGCATATCAAATATGCCACGGGGAGCTTGCCAGGCTCTGCCATGCAGGCAGGATACTCTCAGTAGCTTGCCGGGCTCTCTGAGGGGGACGGAGGAATCGAACCCGGGTTGGTCGCGTGCTAGGCAAATGCCCTAATCTGAAATAATAGACTGTTGCTTGTCTGCACTCTTGACTAAGTATTTTTACTCCCTTTGTGCATATTTTTTCTTATTGTTTTCCAGGGGGATTATTAAAAAATATATATTTATATTAAAATTTATATCAGCTTAAAGAACACATCAAACTAGTTTCTAAACAGTTTTGTGTCACTTTGTGTTGGTGTGATATCTTTCTCACTTAGAGTTCTATAATTGCTGTTTTATGCACTTGTCTTTTAAATAAACAAAATGATATATTTGTAACTTTTCTGAGTTTGTAGCTTAATTATTTTTTAAATTTTTTTATTAGTGAAACACCATGAGGTGTACAGTTATAGACTTATAAATTGTTGTGCTTGGGTTTCAGTTATACAATGATCAAGTACCCATCCTTCCACCAGTGCCCATCCTCCACCACCATGGGTCCCAGCATACCCCCCACCCCCCATACCCCCCTGCTTCTGTGGCAGGGCATTCCCCCTTGTTCTCTCTCTCTTCTTTTGGGTACTGTGTTTTGCAAGAGAGGCATTGAGTGGCAATCATGTTTGGTCTATAGACTACTTTTAGCATGCTTCTCCCACCCTGGGAGGGTCCTCACAACACCCTTTATTTGGTGCTCTCTTCTCTATCTGAGCTGCCTTTTCACCTAGCACGTGTGGCTGGCCTTCAAGTCATGGAGCAAAATTCCTGGTACTAATCTCAGCCATTCCTGGGTGTTAGTCTCCCTTTTTGTTGCTTTATGTTCCCCAGATGAATGCAATCTTTCTGTGTCTATCCCACTCTTTCCGACTCATTTCGCTTAACCTGATACTCTCCATGTAGTACCACTTGTATGTAAATTTCATAACTTCATCTTTTCTAACAGCTACATAGTACTCCATTGTGTAAATGTACCAAAGTTTCTTTAACCAGTCATCTGTTCTCAGGCACTCAGGTTTTTCCAGATTCTGGCTATTGTAAAGAGTGCTGCAATGAACAAACAATTGCAGATGTCACTTCGACTATACCTTTTTGCCTCTCTGGGATATATTCCCAGGAGTGCTATAGCTGGGTCAAATGGGAGCTCAATTTCTAATTTTTTGAGAATCGTCCATACGGTTTTCCAGAAGGGCTGAACCAGTCGACATTCCCACCAGCAGTGAAGGAGGGTCCCTTTCTCGCCACATCTGCGCCAGCACCAGTTGCTTTTTGTTCTTGTGGATGTGGGCCAGTCTCTGTGGTGTGAAATGATACCTCATTGTTGTTTTGATCTGCATCTCTCTGATGATTAGTGATGTAGAGCATTTTCTCACGTGCCTTTTTGCCATTCGGATTTCTTCTTTGAGAAAGTTTCTGTTCGTTTCCTCGCCCCATTTTTTGATGGGGTTGGGTGATTTCTTCTTGTGGAGTTCAACCAGTACCTTGTATATCCTTGATATCAACCCCTTTCGGATGTGTATTTGGTGAATATCCTTTCCCATTCTGTAGGCTGTCTTTGTATTTTGTTTCTTTTGAGGTGCAGAAGCTTCTTAGTTTAAGATAGTCCCATTTGTCTATCTCTGTTTTCACTTGCTCGGCCAGTGGCGTGACATCTTTGAAGATACCATTAGCTTCAATATCATGGAGAGTTTTGCCAACTTTGTCTTCAATAAACATTATGGATTCCGGTCTGATGTTGAGGTCATAAATCCATTTCGATCTTACTTTTGTGCATGGTGTTAGGCAGAGATCTGAGCCCACTTTTTTATGTAGCCGTCCAGTTTTGCCAGCACAGTTTATTAAAGAGACTTTCCCTGCTCCATTTCACTTTTCTTGCCCCCTTATCAAAGATTAGATGATTATATGTTTGGGAGGAAATGTCAGTATATTCAACTCTGTTCCATTGGTCTGCAGCTCTGCCTTTGTTCCAGTATCATGCTGTTTTAATTTATTTTGTAAATAAGGTTATGAATTTTGTTACTATAAATAGAATGCTATCAATTTCATTTTCATGTCTCAGAATTATTATATAGAAACTGTGACTTGTAAATGTTGATTTCATATCTTGCAAAATTACAAAATTTGCTTAATTCTTAGTTTCTATACTTAATCCTTTAGATTAAGTACAGCTATAGCATTTTTATTTCTTCCTTTTGAATGTGAATTTTTTGGGGGGCGACTAATTGCTTTGGCTGTAATTACAAATATAATGTTAAATATAGGCAGAGATGCTTCTGGATCCTGGGCCAGGCTGAGTCATCTGGGGCACCCCAGAGTGGAGGTAGGTGAGCTCACTAACCTCCAAACAGCCCTGGCAGCCCCAAACCTCCACATTCTACAATCACTGTCGTGCTCACGGCCAGACTCTACTGCTCAGGACAAGCCTCATCCAGAAATTGTTCTATTGAAAAACTCAAGTATGTGGGTTTTGTGGCTGAAATCTTTAGGCTTTCACAGAGTCAGGGATGGGCTACCCCCCACCCCATCTTAACCTATAACATGTTATAATCTCTTCAACAAGGGTTCCGTGGTGAGATACAATATTCACACACTTTCATCTAAGGGAATATTTTTTGATCATTTTTAGCGAATTATAACAAGCAATATAGGGGCCAGAGCGATAGCACAGCAGGTAGGGCGTGCCTTGCCTTGCATGCAGCTGACCCGGGTTTTATCTCCAGCATCTCATATGGTCCTCCAAGTACCGAAAGGAGCAATTCCTGAGTACAGAGCCAGGAGTAACCCCTGTGCATTGCTGGGTGTGACCCAAAAAGCAAAAAAATAACCCCCAAGCAATATAAAAGAAATTACTCAGGGCCTGCTACAAGGGCAGGTTTGAGGGTGGTTGGGAAAACTGGAAATAATTGTGTGGGAAGGTTCAATGGTGGTGGAACTTATGTTGGAATAACGAATGCAATGAACCATTAATAACTTTATAAAAAATTTTAAAATGTTGAACATAGTGGTCAGAGTATATATCCTTATCTTATTCCTGATGCTGGGGAAGGCAGAACCGTGCATATTAGCTGACATTTTCTTAGATGGCTAGTAAAAGATACAGCCCCCACAAATGCAAGGCATGTGCTCCAGTCCCCAGACATCTCCCTGGTCCTGTATTGGATTTTTCAAGTGTGTATGAAGCTTGGTGTTCATTAATCTGTAAACATTCGCTAGAATAGACTGATATAGCCATGCAATTGTGGACTTTACTATTTTCCTTCTTTCAGTTCTGTTCAAAATGTTTTCTCACAGGGCAGGGTTCAACTATACCTGGTGGTGCCTAGGGCCTACTCCTGGCAGTGCTTGATGATCTAGTGGTGGTGGGACTAAACACAGGATCTTTCAGAAATCTATATGTGATCTACCATTACAGCCAGCTTTTTTAAAAGGTGTGTGTGTGTGTGTCTGTGGTGTGTGATGGTGGTACCACACCTCACTATGCTCAGGGCTTACTGGTGGCTCTGTAATCAGGAATCACTCCAGGAGTGCTTAGGGGGCCGTATGCACTATCTTCTCTCTTCTTTTAAGGGTTCTAATTGATCTGCCCTTGTTCTCACCTGTTACCCAATTTCCACTATTTGCTAGGTGACCTTTTATTTTTGAAACATACCCTGGGCCACAAAATACTTATTTAAGCTGGTTTAGGCCTTTATTGTCTGAGGCTTACCTGGGGCATCGAACCTGGGTCAGCTGCGTGCAAGGCAAACACCCTACCCACTGTGCTATGGCTCCAGCCCCATGTACCTCATTCTTGACATCAGTATGTTAAAGAAAATTGTTTGTATTTTTCAGTGAAAAAGAAAAAATAGGTTTTTTTTTTTTTACTTTTTGGGTCACACCCTAGCATCTAAAGCTAGAACTTCTTCCCTTTGCTCCAAATAAAATACCCAATTTCTTATTCTGGTTTAAGATTTTCTTGAGTGTTTGTTTGCTGTATGTGCCTATGAGAGTTTATACTTACACATAAACACACACACACACACACACACACACACAAATCCAATCCACCAGGAACGACTCTTCACTGATAGATATAATTTTATATTTCTTCATTATGCCATTCTACAAGTGCTTCCTGATTATCTTCTAACTGCTTGTCTTAAGCTACATGGACTCTTTAAAATAAGGTAGTATGTTTACAAACTGAGAAAGCTTTTTGCTTCTATCAATTGATTCAATATTAACATGCAGCATACGAAATAAATAAGCAGAGTTCTTTATTAGTTTTTTAAATGTACTCCAGAAGTGAAGAGTATTTATAATTCTTTTAACAAGTACAGTCTGTTATACTAAGTGTCACTCAACCTATTGTAACATTAAGAATTGGTCCTGAACAATTGGCTGAATTCCTATTTCCAATCTAGTAGTTAAAAAATGCAATTGTGAATGGTATAAAGAGGTAAGAACCATGTTGCGATAAAATAAATCTCAAAAATAGAGAATCTAGACAAGTTTTCCTGAACTTAAACATATCTTTCATTGTGATGCAATTGTATAAAACTCCATGAGCATTACATGACCAATGTACTGAAACAAAATTTAAAAAATTAAAGTGTGACTGTAAAGTAAAAAGATGAGTTACAAAGAATTTTAACTGATCTTTAATCATCATCAGAGTCTGAATCATATTTCTTCCCTCGGATAGTTTTCTTTTCCAGTTTTGTGAAGTTTGTTCCAAATTTCTTTTGGCTTTGAAATGGTGGCTCCATTAAATTTCCACTAAAAATAAGCATATTTGAGAAAGTTATTTTTCAAGGTTCAGCAGAGTCAGTGTTTCAATTCATAAAAACCTATTTTTTCTATTTCATTGAAAAATATGAACAATTTTCTTTAACATACTGATGTCAAGAATAAGGTACATGGGGCTGAAGCCGTAGCACAGCGGGTAGGGTGTTTGCCTTGCACGTGGCTGACCAGGGTTCGATTCCCAGCATCCCATATGGTCCCCTGAGCACCGTGAGAAGTGATTCTTGAGTGCATGAGCCAGAGGTAAACCCCTGTGCATCGCTGGGTGTTACAAAAAGCAAAAAAAAAAAAAAAAAAAAAAAAAAAAAAAAAAAAAAAAGGAATGCGGTATATAAAAGGGGGATGGAGATGGAGGGATGAGGGGGGGAAAGAGAGAGCGAGAGCAAGAGAGAGCGCGTGCAAGCGAACACAATGTCTGCCATACAGGCAGGCTGGGGTAGGGGGGCAGGAGGGAAAATGGGGACATTAGTGGTGGGAAATGTACACTGATAAAGGGTTGGATGTTGGAACAATGTACGACCAAAATGAACAACTTTGTAACTGTGTACCTCACGATTTCAATTAAAAAAAAAGGGGGGGGGGATGAGATACACCGCTAATACATGGCTAATAGTTTTAGGCCTTCCTTATGATTGTACTAGCTTTCACAGAATGTACCAACAGAATTTAACGAGAAGCACAGAAAGAAGTCAAGAGTGCTTTTCAAACATTATGGGTATATTCAGCTTACACTTTCTTTGTGAAGGTTTTCTACGTCTAACCCAAAAAGAACTTAGTTCCATAAAATTAACACAAAACAATTTTCTCGATTATTATCAACTTAGTATATAATTAACTTGACTGTTTAACTAAAAATTACCTGTAATTAAGAATATCAGAACAACCAAGTCTCCATTCTAAAGTTTCTGTGGTGAAGTCATCTGTATTTCCTAGGTCAGTAAACCCAACAACATAATCTTGCGCTTTTCCATCCTTTACCAGTGCTAGTGTAGGAATGACTTTGATACGGAGTCTCTCACAAAGGAAAGGTGCTTTCTCCACGTTCAGCTTCAAAAATTTGGTCTCAAGATGTTTCTTAGACAAGATCCCCAAATGTCTGTCTAATATTTTACACCTGTAGAAAATCAAAAGTTGAAACAAAGTTTCTTTTCTGTTAGACTGGAGATTATACCTGGCAGTGTTGAGAGTGGGAGCAGGCAGTACTGGCTTTTAAACCCAGGGCCTTATAAGTCATATTCCAGACCCTGCTGTGTTCTTTTTAATAATCATTATTATTAAGGTTTTAATAATCATTATTATTAAGGGCTGGAGCGACAGCACAGCGGGTAGGGTGTTCGCCTTACAAGCGGCCAACATGGCCGACCCGAGTTCGATTCCTCCGCCCCTCTCGGAGAGCCCGGCAAGCTACCGAGAGTATTCGATATGCCAGACACAGTAACAACAAAGTCTCCAATGGAGACGTTACTGGGCCCGCTCGAGCAAATCGACGATCAACGGGAGGGCCTTTACCTTTACCTTTTACCTTAAGGTTCATCCAATTTTCAACCAACTCAGGCTTGTGTGAGGTGGCTTCCCTTCTATTTTATAAGCTGGCTGGTTCATTTTGAGAGGTAGTAAAATAACCTACTGTTAGAAAGCCAGATATACCTGAACAGTATTAAAAGCAAGTATTAAGCATCTTAAATCATAAGCCATAAGGGCTTCACAAAGTTAGCAAGTCCACGGCAGAAACAAAACCAGTCATTTCTCTTATTTCCTGGTATTTCAAACAATGGCACTTGAGTGGTGATACATCCAATTGACAGGAACTGAAACTTTAAAAACTGGCAGCAGGGGGGACTGCTGGAAGAGCTAAATACGTGTGTGTGTGTGTGTGTGTGTGTGTGTGGCTGTCTCACAATTAATCCCTGGTTCTGCTTGACTCTCCTGAACACTGATGGAAGAGACTCCTGAGCACAGGGCCAGGACACAGTGCTGTATTTAGATGTCATTAAGATGGAACTTGAATGGGATCACTGAGAAGGAACTTTGTCAGTAATCTCTCAGTAAGAGGCATATCAAGATTAAGAACTATGAATATGGTTCATTATGATTCTAAAGAAATAAGGAAAAAAATCTAGAGAAATCTAATGAAGTGACTTTCTATTGAGGAACATGTAAGATATTTTCTTTAAGCTAACATTTCTTTTTAATGACTCACCTCTCTAATGTTTCTCAAACAAATTGTACTATTTTTAGCAATAGATTTTAGTTAATTTTTTTTTCAGTGACAAGTTTTGAATCCAGGGCCATACATCACTATTTAATCTTGTTTCAAAGTAAATACCCCTGACACTATATTCATCCACCAAGTATATTTATCACATGTTACAGCCAATCGTTATCTTGGGCAAGGAACACAAAATATAAGACACAGAATAGACACATCTTCTCTGCCTTTTCAAAGTGAATAGTGTAGTACAGGAGACATCCAATAAACAGTAAACAGTAGCACTCTGATATAATGATAAATCAGCATATTATCTTGCTAAGTATGTCAGAGCCTGGCAACTATGGAATGTGTGTCAACAGAGAGAAAATGATAAGAGGATAGCACTGTAGCACTGTCCTCCCGTTGTTCATCAAGTCTCCATTTTGAGACTTGTTGTTGATAAAAGGGTACATTTTCATTTAAGTTCCCTTATATTTTGGTACGTCACTGCTTTTTAGTTAAGCTTTAAAATAAAATAATAACTGCTTAACTTTAATGTATAGACTTTAAGAACAAAGAAATAACTTCGAAGTGAATCATTTTTCTTAATTTCTTTATTGAGTCAGAGTACCTCTATGCAAAGATCTCATTTTTTATAAAAATCACTAAAAGCAAAAGAAAGTTACCTGAATGTGGTGTCTCTGTAGAAATGGCAAACCACTTTTTTACTCTCCTTCACTTCTTGAAAAAATTCTCTCTCATTAGTAATTTCTCTGTATTCTCCATGTCCTTTAGAAAGCCACTCCTAATTCAGAGTAAAGGAAAGTATTATAATGATTTATCTTTCAGTACCACTTTACATTAAGTGTCTAAATTAGAACAGTATTCTGTAATGAAGTTGATTTCATTATGTGATGAATTTTTCTTTTTCTTTCCTTTTTTTTAACAATTTATGCTTCTAGAGTGCATAATAATTCATAAAGAGGACCTTCTGCAGTATGGTCAATTATTTAACACAGTAGCACTGTAGCACTGTCCTCCCGTTGTTCACTGATTTGCTCGAGTGGGCACCAGTAACGTCTCACAACAAATTGTGAGACTTGTTACTGTTTTTGGCATATCGAATAAGTCATGGTAGCTTGCCAGGCTTAGTTGTACGGGCAAGATACTCTCGGTAGCTTGCCAGACTCTCCAATAGGGACGGAGGAATCGAACTTGGGTGGGCCATGTGCAAGGCAAACGCCCTACTCGCTGTGCTATCGCTTCAGCTCATTTAAGGCAGTATTTTTAAAAATTTTAAACATGTTTTCTTAGAACTTGGAAATTTTATTTAGACTTTAGAAAATAAAACATAAATGATGTTCTCAAACTAGTAAAATTGAAAGCATCTAATCCAAGCCCCGATGCAACTTTAAAAAATATTGCTTATCATGATCATACCCAACTTGGATGGAGCTGAGACTGGACATTACAGTACGAAGAATCTTAGCATCTCAACTCTGAGCTTGTTTCCTTTGAGGCCGTTAGTTTTAATAAAAAGGAAGAGTTGGCTTACAGACAGGAGGTAAGGGGTTGAGTAATTATTTTGGAACTTATTAGGCTATGAATTCTAAAAACCATACACTCTCTCCTCAGTTATTAAAGTGAGAACATAAAGAACTATCCAAGTTGTAAAAATAAGGCAATTTATAGGAAAACTGTAGTTTATAGACTGGAAAATATCTGGTACATGTTATCCCTATACTCTTAAATTTAGAAAGTCCTCTCACACTGGGTTTCAACATAATTGAAACCCTACTGGGTCCTATGCATATATATATATATATATATAAAATTTTTTTTTTCTTTTTGGGGTCACACCTGGCGATGCACTCAGGAATTACTCCTGGCGGTGTTCAGAGGACCATATGGGATGCTGGGAATTGAACCCGGGTTGGCAGTGTGCAAGACTAATGCCCTACCTGCTGTACTATCACTCCAGCCCCAAAGGAAAGATCTTGATTTCATCTCCTCAAATATACCTTGTTTGTGTCCCTCCTTTTTCACACTGAATGTAACATCCAGCCTTCTTATTTTTCTAATTACTTTAAAATTTTTGTAATTAAAAAAACTTTTAAATCGACTCAGTGATACACAGTTACAAAGTTGCTCATGATTGGGTTTCACCAGTGTACATCCCACCACCAATATGTCCAGGCTGCCTGCCCCCTCCCCACTCCCCTGCCCCCAGAACCCCGCCTCTATGGCAGGCACTTTTCTCTTTTCTTCTAATTATTGACCGCCGAACACTAGAAACTCAAGTCCTTTAAAACTGTGGTAGAAGTTTAATGCAGATCTCTAGAAGTGTTCCAGAAAGATAGGGGAAAAATCGGCTTTCCTACTCTGGACTTCAGCTAACACAACCCAGATAATCCTTTTGGTATCCAATTTACACAGGCTCAGGTTAAGCTGACACGCACAGGGATGGGGTGCTTGATATTTTCTTCTTGAAACACATTTATTTTGCAAAACTTTTAAACTTTTATTCAAATATAAATCCTCAATGATGTGACATTTCATAACTCCTTTCTTTGTTGATTAAATTAAGTGCATCCTTTTAAAAAAGGTATCTATTGGGGCTAGTGAGACAGTAGAGTAGATCAGTCACTGACTGGGGTTCAATCCCTGACACCTCATATGATCTAGGAGTGATCCCTTGAGCACTCCACCCCTAACCCCAAACAATGGTTTGTTTTTGTGGTCTTTGGGCCTCATCTGGTAGTGGCTTACATCTGGATCTGTGCTTAGGGATCACTTTGGAAGTGCTTAGGGGATGCTATGTGGGATGAAGGCTGAACTGTTGCCTGCATGGCAAGTGCTTTCCTGAAGTACTACTGATCAGCAATCCCCAGAGTATGTTACTTAAAAAAGGTTAATATGTGTTATCCAATAAACTGAAACCCTTCTCCTTAAGAGATCCACGATAAACCACTTCTGATACACATCTGCATTTAAGACTGAAAGTCTTAAAAAAAAAAGAAAGATCTCTTATTAGTGTTCTCAAGAATATTATTGAGAATATTGGATATTAAAAATATTCTTTCAAAACACATTTCTGAACAATTCATGTATAACAGTATATAAAATCTATCATAAAACATTTAAAAAAGTTAAAAAGGGTGAGATAAATAGAAGAAATATAAAAACAGAATATGTTTTTACAATTTCTTTCTTTGGGGAACACTATCTTTGGAAACCAATAAAAGTTTCAGTTTTTTTCTAAAACTAAACACATACGAATGTAAAAGTAGGAATTCCTTCTGAAATCTTGGCAATTTTTTTCAGAGCCAAGTACTGATAACTTTCTGCAGTTGGCAGAGGACAAATGGTCTTTGGCAGTTAATGTGATCGGTTCTCTTTTGTCATAACTCCCAAATCTGGCTGCTTTGACAACCAGTCATAATACTCTTAGATTCAGACCTAGAGTCTAAGTATCAAGGGTAGAACTTTGTATATAATATATTGTATTGAACTACAATATAGCCCTCTTAGGTGATCCTGGTATAGCCAATAAGAACTTGGTGTTGGGGCTGGAGTGACAGAACAGCAGGTCGGGTGTTTGCCTTGCACACTACCAACCTGGGTTCAATTCCCAGCATCCCATATGGTCCCCCGAGCACTGCCAGGAGTAATTCCTGAGTGCAGAGCGAGGAATAACCCCTGAGAATTGCTGGGTGTAATCCCAAAAAGAAAAAAAAAAAAGAAAAGAACTTGGTATCACTTAATTGGAAGCCACAATGTGCTTTCTATTAATTCAATTAACATTCAATGCTATCATTACAGGTTCCAGATGCATAGCATTATAATTTGCAATCTCTACGTTATCATTATGATCCCCATAAAAAGTAATTTCCAACCTCTACCACATAGCTGCTCCTTCCACCCCCTACCCTTAGAAGAAAAGCAGATTTTGGTTTAAGCATGCTTTTCTTCTAAGAGATAGGTGCCAAAAGGAAGCAGCTATTGATGTAGCATGATGAACAAAAGAGTATGGCTTCACAAAAGTTATCAGATACTGAACTAAATCGTTTATCTGGTAAAAGCTGCTTTGATTTTATTTTGTAGATACTTCATAATTTATCCACTAGATACGTCATAATTTATCCAATTATCCTTGTTATATTGAATTTTCCCCCCTACATTACAAATACTACCTCAATAAACATTGAGATTCTATTAAATATTCATATGTTTAGTGGTTTTTCTATTTACATAGAATTCCTAGGAGTTTGAAAAAAAATGGATGAAAAATATGAGTATTCTGCATTCTACTACTTTTTCCAGTCTAACAGTGGACATTAATATCCCCCACACCCCAATCTTAAGTCTTTCTCTTGTGGGGAAGGAAGATAAGAGGGGGTACACCCCTCTAGTAAAGCTCAGGAGGCCCAGAGCCCTTTTCAGCACTATTCTGCTAACTACCTTGTGCACAGTTCAGTGTGAGGGTCTAAGGATATGGTGCTGCTTGAGTCCAATAGTACCAGAGATTACCCAGGTCATTCCAGTAGTGCTTGGGGGCTGTTAGGGTCATACCTGGCAGTGCTGGGGGCCCTTTGGGACTGCAACCAGAGATTTAGGATACTTGTGGTACGGGGATCAAACCAGGATTAACTGCATATGGCTATTAAACTTAACCTAACTCCTGTACCATCTTCTTGGGCCCCCTCAGATGTTTAATTAAAAATAATTGGTGTACTGTTTCTGTTTGCTTTTTGGGGGTGGAGGTGGGGAGGGCCACACCTAGCTATTCTCAGACTTACTCCTGGCTCCACACCCAGGGATCACTTCTGGCAGGGCTTGGGGGATCATTCAGGATGCTGGGGACAAAAATGCTTGCAAGGCAAACACCCTACCCACTGTACCATTTCTCTGGTCCCTCAGTGTATTGCTTTTAATTGCTGACAACTTCATGTAAGGCTTTACTTTAAAAGAAAAAAAAGAAAAACCCAAACTACAATTGAAAAAAAATTTAAAAGACAGTATTTTCCTGAGTGCAAACCAGAGATTCAGACTTTCTGTATCCATAAAATTATCCTAGTTTAATAACTTTCTCTATTTGAGCAGAAACAATCAGCAGTGAGCTTTACTGTGATTATGAATATAAATTTGTGGTAGAATTTCATTACATAATATCTTTTTTTTTGTTGTTGTTTTTAGACCACACCTTGTGGGGCTCAGGAGAGTTTGTGGGATGGTAGGGATGGAACCTGCATCCTTGCAGGCTGTGTGCAAGGCAAATGCCTTCCCTCCTGCACTACCTCTCAGGTCCCACACATTATCTTAAATACTTAAATACCAACACACTGTCTTCTATTTACTAACCATTAAGACTTTCCCCCCATTTCATAGCAATTCTTCTAAACTATAAGGGTGCAATCAGATCAAAGAAACTACAGCTACACAAAGAAAGCTTTTAGTTTTAAATTAAATCTCATGTTTAGGCACAATCAATTAAAACTGGCAATAACATGTTTCAAAATAAAGTAAATCAAAAGAAACGAACTGTAGGTGGGGGGTGGAGCGAGGGAGATTAGAGACAAACCTAGTGGTACTCAAAGGCTTTTCCTGGCTGTGTTAAGGAATGACCTCTGGTGTTCATATACGGTGCAGGGATTGAACCGGGGTCAGCAACATGCAAAGCAAGCATCTTAACCCCTGCACTATACCTCTAGCCCCAGGCACCTTTTAAAATCAGCTTAGAGAATCTGATAAACCATATGGTTTCTATCGGTCTACAACTCTGAGAAGAGGCCACACTTATATTCAAGGATAGAGCTATGTCCACTTTCATAACTAAGCAAACATTTTGAAAAAGCCACACCATTACACATTACACTGGAAATAACTGGATTTTCTTCACTATAAATTGCCTTTGAGCACACCCAAATTATGCCAAAATTTACTGACAGCAAGGGAGAAGCAGTACACTTAATGCTTCCAGTGCTCTTTCTAGTTTAGCTTCTCAACACACATATGAACTCATAAAGTAATGATGGGCACAGGTTTTTTCTCGAGTTGTGGCTTAGTATACGGATCAGACCAATTCTAATGTATTTCTACCATTATCTACTTCCCTGAAGAAATTTTTAACAGTAACTTTTCTGAAGGCAAAAACTCAATGATGGGAACTTGAAAGGTGACCACTGCAGCACACATACATATATAAGTTGTTAGGAGCATACTGTTATAGCAATTTCAGAAAGCAGGGCAGAGAGGTTACTTGTTTCTGCTGCTGAGCTTTTCTTAGTGCCTCAAGTCTCTTTTCTTTGAGGTGCTCCAATTCATCCTCATCCATCTGATCCAGTTTCTGAATTTCAGAATCCAAATGTTCTTCTACTAGTTTGGTAGTCTGAAGCAGCTGATTCTCTAGAACTTTTGCAAACATGTCAACAGAATCATGTGTCTCCATTATCCTAAGTGGTAAAATTTAGCTCGAAGCTGGGAGGAAAGAAAAAAGAAATTAATGGTAGGCAAAGTTTTCTATGTTATTTAAAAAAAATTCTAGCAAGTATATAATTGCAATCCACAATGTTTTGCTGATGGAAACCAAGAAGTTCTTATTAGATTTAGGAATTTTTATTTAAAAGTTTTTACATTTAATTTCCAGTACATAATAAAAAAAACCACCTTGAGCAATAATGACCTGCTTCTGATTTATTTTGTGTTTTATGATAGTAAAGCAAAGATAAATTTTTAAAGCCATCAGACCAGAGAGATATGGGAAATTATACCTACTGAAACACATGAACAATCTGTTTCCTACCAAAGGAAAAAGAGCAAAATTTCTTTTGAATTGACTGTTAATAATGAGGTATTTCTTTTGTTGGGGGGGGGGGGTGGGCACACCCAGTGATGCTCAGGATACCATATGGTGCTGGGAATTTAACCAGCATGCAACAAAATTTGTGTCCAGTCCCTTGAAATTCCTGTTTTATTTTGAGGCCACAACCAGTTGTGCACAGAGCTTACTTCTGGTGGGGCTCAAGGGACCATGTGTTGTGCCAGGGATCTAACCTGGGTTGGTGGGCAAGTCAAGTACCCTACCCACTCCACTATCTCTTCCATTAAACTCAAGTGCTCTCCATAATCGCATGTGGGTATCATTAACGGGATCTTGCACGATAATCAATGGCACAGCTCACAGAAGGGTTTAACTCCAGCGAGGTTTCACACATACTATGTATATACTGCTTCAACACAGAAAAGAGTGAAGAACAAAGTTTCCATGGTTTTTGCTTAAACGATTTTCATTTCTTTAGTGCCTAAGAAATCTCATTACAATTGGTGGAAAGAACAGTTCCCGATGTTCCAAAGTTTTAGTTTTTATTTCTGTTTTCTCAGTACCTAACAAACTTACGCACTGCAAAGATTAAGGATACTGACTTGCTGATATTAAGTTAACACTGATGGAAAGCAATAAACACTCTACATATTGGAGCAAGTGCACCAGCATTTTGAACTATCATTGGTCCTAAAATTACATCTTGGAAACAGAAATTCAACAGGGAGAAATTTATTTTTGAATCTTCTCTGTGGACCAACTCTCCAGTTCTGTTGCCTATGGCCACTTGCTGCCCTTACTGTGTCTTTAAATCCCACAAACACCAGAGACCCTAAGAGATAAATTGTATCTCTGTTCCCAGCTCATTTATTACCACAGAAATATGACTGACCACTTTCTATAAAAGCAAGCCAGTGCCAGAACTAACAGGTAGCAGGGACTTGCCTTACATGTGGTTGACCCAGATTCAATCCCCAGCGTCCCAAATGGTCCCCAGAGCACTGCCAGGAATAACCCCTGAGCACTGCTGGGTGTGGCCCCCAAACAAATACAAAAGCAAGCACAAAGCTATTGCACCTCAAATAACCAGGACTCATTTGCAAACACAATTTAAGTCACTGACAGGTTCTTAGAAACTGAAGCTTTATGCAAAACCGACAGGTACTTGGAAATAGCAACTTTATATGAAACACAAGTGCAGGCCCTAGGATGTAAATTTGCCCAACCTCAGTGGGGCATATATATTTTTTCTCATCACAGTTAAAAAGGAGAAGACTAAGCAAAACCACTTTATTCCAGATTTGTTATACTGAAGCAATTTAAAACATCTAAGGAAACCCCAAGCTCACGCCCACGGAAGCTGAGAGAAATGTCGCTTTTTTTTTTTCCCTTCGGAGACAGGCAAAGGAAAAGGATACTGGTTACATCTCTGTATATCCATTCAGGGCAGCAGTGCATGAAACACAGCAGGACGCACAATGAATACTCTTTAGTGTTGAACGAACGTGTGTCTTGCTCAAGTTACTCTTTAGTCCCCAGAGTACCTGCGTTTAGTTAGCCAATTCCAGCTTCTCACAGTGCTCTCAGAGTTTTAATGGAGATGCAGTAGAGACATGATAAAAGAATTTGACACTGGCCCCCCCACGAAAATTGTGACCCTGACTCAAGGCTGGGGCTTGGTGAAGCAGAGAAGTGGCCAGAAGACACCGATTTTACTAGCGACACGCTAATAATCTGAGTTTTATAGGGTGAGTTCAGAACGTAATTTTAGCATAAACGGGAGCAGAAGTGTCCTGGAGCTGTTTTGGGGTCCCGGGGTGATGGGCACTATTATTCCGTAAGAGGAAGCGTGGCGAAGGTGCAGAGGTGCCCAGGGTGTGGCGAATCGTCCGTCAGGCACTCGAATTGGCGCCCTGACAGGATCTTCCGAAGAGCTAAGCGGGGCGTCAGGAGAGCTGAGCGGAGTGTCAGGAGGGCTAGCCCGGGCGCTCTGACGGGCGCGTCAGGAGAGCCTGTCAGGGCGCGCCGGGCCGTCTCCGGCCGCTGCCTTGGGCGCCGCTCGCAGAGCCGCCGGGCGGCTGAGGGCAGAGCCGGGTGCCCCCGACCGACTTCAGCGCCTCCGAGCCGCATGCGCCAGGCTCCGTGGCCGCGGCCCTCCCCCGGCGCTGTCCGGCGACTGATCGGCGCCGGGCCGCGGTGGCCGTTTCCTCCCACCAACCTCGGCCTCACCTGAGCTACCGGCGACACGGAAACGCTGAGGGGACGAGCGCTCCCCAGACACCGATCTCCCACGCCCTGACGCGCAGCGGCGGCGGCCGCGGGCGGAAGATCGCCGGGACTCGGGTCCTCATTGGCTGCGAGCCTCACGCGATACCGCCCGCGATGCCCGCGGAAGTCAGGGGGCGGGGCGCGCACGCGCGCACCGAGCTCTTCCGGCCGCCCGCCCTCCACTCGCGGCAGCGCTTCCTGTCAGCCGGTGAGCGGAGCGTGCTGGGAGCTGGAGTTTGTCCGCGCGCGGCCAGGGCTTGTCACACTTCGCAGGGAGCCGCGGTACCACGCCTCAGGGAGAGGACTCTGGTCCTGTTCGGGACCTCATCTTCGCTCCCAGCCACTGCGGCTTGAGTGTTCCCCTTGGAAGGAAGGTCGAGGCACGCTCGTCTCCGCTCCGTCCGGGTGTGCCCGCCACGCTCCTCGGTTTCCGGCGATTCCTTTCACAGGTGTTGATAACTCGCCCTCTCTCAAGCGAGTCCATACGTATTTGTGCTTTTTATTTGAGTTTTTTGATTTCTTATCGAATCACCACAAGATAGTTCCAAAGCTTTTATGTTTCAGTCACAGTGATGGAACATCCATCCCTCCACCAGTGCACATTCCCCACCACCAATGTCTCCAGTGTCCCCCCATCTCACCCTCCCCCTGCCTCTGTGGCAGACAATTTCCCCCATACTCTACTTTGGGGCGTTATGGTTTGCAATACAGATACTGAGAGGCCATCGTGTTGATCTACTATCAGGTATTTGTGCTTGTAAAATAAATACCGCACGACGCACCGAGATAAAGCAGTTTTCTATTTCTTGGGGTTTTGTTTTGGGGCGGGGGACCCGCCGAGAGGTTGGGGGCTCGAACCCGGGTTGGCCAATCGCCGGGCCTGCCAGCTGTAACTAGCTCTAATTGCGCCCCGGACTAATTTCTCCGGGATGCTTCCCTTGAGAGGCCCCCAGGAACTCAGGCACTGCGGTTCTTTACTGAACGCCACGCAGTCGGGAGTCGATCGGCCGAAGGGAACTGCAGGGTCTGCTTCGGCATCGAGATCCAGCGCCCGTCGGCGGCGGCTTTCCCTCGCGCGCAGCAGCCGACCCCGCTGGCTCTTCAGCCTCATTGTTCGCCTCGGCGTTCTAGAACCCGGAAGGGGCTCGGGCGCCTGCGCCCGGAGAGCGCCTTCCGACAGGGGGCGCCCGGGCTCCCGGCGGCTCGCGGCGACGCTCTATCCGCCGCGCCGCTCTCGATGCGCCGCGCCTGCGTCCCCACGCCGAGGCGGCGGGGCGCTGCGCGTGCGCACTGCGCGCTCACACCATATGTGCCCTGTCCGGGTGCGCGGGTCTGTGGAGAGCCGGCTGCGGGCGGCGGCGGCGCCGTGGGACGGAGTGTCTGCGAGGGCCCGAGCCGACGGCGGGGGCCACGGGCGCCGTTGACACACGATGGGGAAGAAGCAGAAAAACAAGAGCGAGGACAGGTAGCCAGTGGTGGCAGCCGCGCTCGAGAGCGGGTCGCGCGGGCTCGGCCGGCGCGGGTGGAACGGGGCGAGGCGCGAGCCCCCGCGCCCCGGTCACCGGGGCCCGACCCGGAGGGGCGCGCGGGCCCGAGAGTCAGCTGGGGCGGCTGGTTCCCCGGGCTGGGGGCGCGGGCCCGCGGGTCAGCTCCGGGCGGCTGGTCCCACCCGGTCTTCAGGAGCTTCCCTGTCCCGGGGAGATTCCGGCTGAGGAGCGGGGTTCCCGCGGTCCCGAGGATCAGGTCCGGGCGGCTGGTCCCCCCGGTCCTGAGGAGCGGGGTGCGCGGGCCCGAGAGGCCGGCTCCGTCTGAGGAAATTACCGGGCCCGAGGAGCGATTTCGCGGGCCACCTCCGGACGGCTGGTCGCGCCGTCTGAGGAGATCCCGGGCCTGAGGAGCCGGGCTCCGGCGTGGCCAAGCCGGGCCCCGAGGTCAGGCAGAGTTCGGCCGCGGGGTCGCGGGAGGCGTCGCCCCGCTCCCGGAAATTCGGGCCGAGCCCGACCCGGTTCTCCCTTGTGGGGCCGGTGGCCCGGACAGCCTCGGCGTCTGGCGCTTTCCGCCTTCCGGCTCCCGGGCTCTCGAGCACCTCCCCTGAGGGGAGGAGGCGACGCCGACCCCCGGGACTGCTGCTGACGAGACGCCGACGGGAGCGCGACTGGCCGGCCCGAGAGTCCGGGGGTTTCGGAACGGTGCCGTGCGCCCGGCTGGAGTGTCTGCGCTTTTGTTCCCTTCTGCTGGGCGCTTGCTTCTGGGAGCGAACATCTGTTACTTTGCACCTTGGTGGACCCAGTTGGCTGGGTTCGGAAACTCGGGGGAGGAGTCAGTTACTTGCAAAGCGGCGAACCAGAAGCCCCACGCGAGGCAGTCCCAGAGCTGGAGCGAGATTACCAGCAGTTAGTCCCGAAGCAGGAGTGAGATCACTAGTTCTGAGTCAGTCCTGAAGCTGGAGCAAGAGCACGAGTTACGAGTTAGTCCTGAAGCTGGAGTTGAGAGTAGGAGTTACGAGATAGTCCTGAAACTGCAATGAGATCACTAGTTATGCGTTGGTCCCGAAGCCGGAATGGGAACTCTAGTTATGAATCAGTCCTGAAGCTGGAGTGAGATCACGAGTTAGGAGTTAGTCCCGAAGCTGAAATGGGACCACTAGTTATGAGTTAGTTCCGAAGCTGGAATGAGATCATTCGTTATGAGTTGATCTCGAAGTTGAAAGAGGTCATTAGTTATAACTTAGGCAGTCCTGAGGTTGGAATAGGATAACTAGTTATGGGCTGGGATCTGGGGTGTTTTCTTAAGCTGGCACTCACTGGTGAGTGGAGTTACCCAGGCGAGGCATGGATTTAATAACAGGTCTACTGGAGGAAGTTAAATCAATTGAAGAGTAGACTTTGTTGTCAAACCTGATAAATATGAAAACGTAAGCAGAATTCTAGGTGATTAAATGGAGTAATATTTCTCACTTTTTGACAGCATTTTTGGGATACATCCCCCTTTCCTCTCCACCCCCACCCCCACCCCCACCCCATCTCCGTGGGTATTTCAAAGCAAATCTCAGCATTCGCTCATGTGTAAATCCCTCAGGTATATCTGAAAGACCAACATCGGAAAGGTTTAAACAGCCACAGAAACATGACATGAAACACGGCCAAAGACGTCATCATTAAACTTTAGGAGTATTAACAAGTGATTTCAGACCCATTGTCAATAACCAGTCAAGTTTTTACATTTTTCTGAATCATATTAGAATTATGTTAGTACTTACAGTATTTGATTCAGGATTGTAAAAGTCTGTTCTTTAGTTTAAAAAAAAAACACTTTTTTTCCTTTCACTTGCAGTTTTTCTTTCCCAGACTTTCACAATTGGAAAAAAGCTATTCTGAGGAAAGGTGTTCTGAGGAAAGGTCTGTGGTTTTTAAGAGAGAAGTGAATATCTCGTTGATTTTATGTGGATAACAAAGTTTACGAACAGTGGCAAGGGGTTTTTGTTTTTAAATAGAATTTTGCTTGAGTACTTTTCAAATTGTAGCTGAGAAATAATAGCATTGTTGTTGAAGTCCTGTTTGACTACAAGGGCTTAGCTTTTAAAAATTTGTCGTTCCACATTATTTTGGAGTGGGAGAGGGGTAGAGAAGTACCAGTGTTGTGTGAGCTAGTTTGCTTTGATCTCTGCACATTTAAATAGTGCTTTAAGGTTATTTTCAACTTTAATAAAAGGAACAATTTTAAACAATACAAGAACTGAGAAGAACATCTAGAAGATAAAGCTTGTTTTAGGATTGATACTCTGTAAAATTAAATGATTGATTTTATTCCTTTTTTAAGACCCATCATAAAGATTTTATATTCATCCCACTTCTTTATTCTCAAACTATTATAAGCCAAACGTTTCTAGCCAGGAAGAATTAAATGAGAAATGATCAGCTTTCTACTGGATAAGGAGTTGGTAAGACTGAGCCTCTTATTAGGTTTTGGAAACATGAAATATATAACAAAATTTTTATATTTAAATATTAAATATAGTAAGATTAAATATTGCCATTATAAAAGGCAATATTATTTTTCTATGACCGTCCCAGTCATCATTTACACAATGGGACCTCCTTTTGGGGATTATTTTGAGCTCTAGCGCTGTCCTGTGCATTTACACAGTATGAAATGTTCTTTTAATTGTAGGAACAAAAGAATATGGGTTATCTTTTTGTAAGTTATACAAAGAGTGGCACCTGTAATGACTTAAAATCTGCTTTTAAGGACAGAAAACGCTTTTGTCATTAAGGACAAACTTCCTCTTCTCTTGGAAGTTCTATCTCTGAAGCAGCTGCCTAGTCTTTAGATAGTTGCCTTCTATTAGACATTGGTCCGGCTTGTAAGGTATGAATCAGTGTGACTTTCTTTTCCTGGAATAGAAGATGTGACCTGCTTAAGGAACATGTTCAGAGTAGGTGAATTTGAGTAGGTGAATTTATGTATGAGTTGAAGCGTGCTCAGAAGCTTCCCAGACAGGAAGCAGTATAATTGGCAGGTTGTCCAAATAGTCTAGTGTAACAAAGGAATTTTTTTCTCACTTGTAGAAATTTGAATTAATGAAATCTTGCTTTAGATACGAAAAGAATAAGATAGTTTGAGGATTTGGGGGGGGGGGGTTTGTTTCTACACTGATCATTTAGGAAGCTGTCGTGTTAGAGAAACCATGCTGGTTTGCCATAAATGATTAAAAAAAGATAATACACTTTATAGTAACCTCTGTGACCTTCTAAGTTAGTGATCTTGTTGGAAAGTTAGTACAGCTACTTTTGATATTATTTGCTTACTGATTTTACTTTGCTTACAAGTTTGTTCCAGTCTTGGAGTTCTCTAAGGTGAACAGCCTTTTTTTTTTTTTCTTTTTCTTTTGGATTTTTTGGCTCACACCCCGCAGTGCTCAGGGGTTAGTCTTGTCTCTGCACTCAGGAATTACTTCTGGCAGTGCTCGAGGATCATATGGCATGCTGGGTATCTAACCCTGGGTCAGCCACGTGCAAGGGAAATGCTCTACCATTATACTATTTTACCGGCCCTGTGTACGAAGTCTTAACTGAGAAATTGAATCAGCAATTGAACAGCAATTCTCAAATTTTTGTTCTAGAACCCCTTTATTTTTTAAAAAAAGTGGAGCAAGGTAGTTTTTATTGAACAAAACTTGGGAAGATGATGAGGGGAGAGAATGGGAGGAAGGACTTTTTTTAATTAAAGAACTGTAATGTACAAAGTTACTGATAGTTGAATTTTAGGTATCTAATATTTCAACAATCCCAATCACCAAGTATCAACTTCCTTCTATCAGTGTTTCCATATTCCCTCCACACCCCAGTCCCAATCCCGTCCTCACTTGTCACTTGACATTCATATTATAAAGTTTCAACTTAAATTTCATGTTTTCAGTTTTGTTGAGTCTGTTTTGCATATATGGTTATACCACTCATTCATCACAGGTATAACTGAAGATCTTATGCCTGTTCACCTATTACTTCCAGTTCTTTTCTTCGCTCTTACTCCTCTGTTCTCTCTAAACACTGGGGTCAAGGGAGATTTAGGCATCCCCCTTTACTATATTTCCTCATCCAGTATTCTGCATACCACAGGTAAGTAAGGTCATCCTATATTTCTTTCTTCTGGCTTACTTCACCTTAACGTAGTATCTTCAAGTTCCAACCAGGTTACAGCAAATAACATGATTTCTTATTCCTTGCAGCTGTGTCTGTATACCACATATTCTTAAGTCTTAATCTTTCGTTACGCACTAGATTGATTTCATATGTTACGTGTTGTACTGAATGCAATAATGAGTAATGATGTGCATATATCCTTTTGGGAGTGTTTTTATGTCCTGGGGACAGAAGCCCCAAAGTGGAGTTGGTGGGTAATATGAAAGTTAAGTTCTAAGTTTATTGAGAACTCTTTATACTGTTTTCCACAGGGGCTGTAGCAGATAAAATTCCTACCAGCAGTGGATGAGAGTTTCTTTTTCACCACATCCCCACGAACGCATATTGTTCCTACTATTTTTTGACAATGTGTCATTCTCCCTACTGTGAGATGGTATCTCATTGTCATTTTGATTTCTCTGATGATGATCACGACCCCTCTGTTATTCGTCGATTGCTTCGAGCAGGCCCCAGTAACGTCTCCTTCGTCCTAGCCCTGAGATTTTTAAGAAAGTGCCATATTCAAGGTTCTTTAGGAGAATGAGACCCATCATTGTTACTGGTATTTGGCATATTGGGTACGCCACGGGGAGTTTGCCAGACTCTGCCGATTAATCTGATGATTAATTATGCTAAGCATAATTATGTAAGTTTTTTTTATATGCCTATTGGTCATCAACCTGTCTTCCTATAAGAAGTGTCTGATCATTTCCTCACACCATTTTTTGATAAGGTAAGGTAAAGGTAAAGGCCCTCCCGTTGATCGTCGATTTGCTCGAGCGGG